GGAAACGAAATGACGACTGCCTATTACTATAGTTTGAGTTTTATATGGATTAACTATTAGACCGTATGATTTTCTCCAGGCACTGATAAGTGACTCCAGCTGGTTAACGGTGCCTGAGTATAGATCTGGAGATCATCCGCGTAAATGTGATAGAAACATGAAAGCGATTGTGTGATGGAATTTATAAAAATAGAAAAAAGCAGAGGAGATAAGACGCCACCCTGAGGAACACCGGCATCAATATCACACCACGCTGACACTGTATCGTCAACACGAATACGTTGCCGGCGCCCTAGCAGGTAACTTCGAAACCAATCAATTGCAGCCGGAGATATATTAAGAGAAGCCATGACACCGAGAAAGATGTCAAAATCAACGGAGTTGAAGCGTGAGCTGTTTGTTGGTTGGAAGTAAGGAAAGCAGTAAGCTGCTGAGAGACAAGTTTCTCAAGAACTTTGGAAAGAAAAGGAAGAATAGAAATAGGACGATAGTCGGAGAATTCAGAAGGATTTGATTTTTTCGGAAGTGGAATGACGTTCGCATCTTTCCAGGATGTGGGAAAAACTCCAGTCAAAACTAAAGTATTTAGGTGATAATACATATTATTTTGGTAATGACATGATTTATGTAAATGTCATTACTTATGATAAAAAGCTGGTAAGTTTCTTTCGCTTGTTCTTCTTGCCAGCTAAAAGACGTCCTGAGCAAGTGGTAAGGGAAAAAATTTTTTTTGGACGATTCAAAAGTGCTTGTAATAGCCTACTTGAATAAAGATATTTTCGTTTCATTTCATTTCATTTCAAAGATATTTTCATTTCATTTCATTTCAATTCGATTGACTCGAAGTAATCAATACGAAGTGAGGGACTATAAAATACACCTAAAAGAATTTTAGTGTACGAGAGTGATACCTCAAGTAAGACATGCTCGGCGCTATTGGGGGGTGGAGTCTGAGGAGATCTACTGAGTATAGAAAAAGGGATATGCAATCGCAGATAAAAAGCCATCCCATCATGAGAAGAACTCACACGGTCATTACGGATCAACTGGAAGCCAGGTAAAAAATAGGAAGTCGAAATAAAGAATAAGAATCGGCTGGATGTTTTTACAAGTGAAAGAAGTAAGCATGTCTGGAAAATGAACTGGGACACTTTGTGCGTTAATATAAACCACATTGAAGTTTTTTGCAGCATTACAGAAGGCATCATCTAAAAGCTCGCTCAAAGGGCGATCTGAGCTATGAAAGCTAGAGTTCGATTCAGAAGAAGAAGAGCCAGACCATCCTTACTATCCGGCCCACATCACTAGCCATTACTTGAGCAGTCGGAATGTGCTGTGATGCAATTCCCAAAAACAGTTCGGTGGGGTCCTCATCCTGAGTTTCTGGTACACCATGAAGCAACAATATACAACGGCGATTTTGCATCTCAGTACTGTCACACTGGGTAGCCAATACCAGCATGCTGCTTCTCAAGGCTCTTGAACATTGCTAACACGAAGCCTCGAAATTCTTCAAACTCCTGTGCCAGCGTAGACAGTGAAGATGCTTGTGGAGCAGTGGTCTTCTGAAGCTTGTTCTCAAATGCAGTCATCCGCTCAGAAAAAGAATGCGAAAACGACTCAACAATGCTTCTGATATCCTCCATTTTTGTGCAAATTCACAGTGTTAGAGTGCAGTTAAAATTTCTAGTGTAAATAGTGTTGTGTAGAGGAGATAACAGCTGCAGGTATTAAACACTATCAGTACATACTTTAAGCAAGGATATTATAGCGATTTAAAATGCAATAGTATTTTTAAAATGAATAATTGGCTAGAGCTAATTAAAGTATGTGTACTCTCTTTTCTGCCTTTCCACAGAAAAAATGAATTATAATGTTATATAGGGTAAAGATTTGATCGTTTGTTTATTTGCATTGAATAGGCTCCGGAAGTATTGAACCGATTTAAAAATAATTTCACCTACGTGAAGATACATCAAATGCGGGGGACTTTTTTGTAGATAAATAAAGTCACGGGAATCAGTGATGCTACTCGAATTAAAGTAGCGAAGGGACACCTAGTCGCAAGAGATGCGCTGAGTTCACTTGATAACTCGAGTGCATAGAGACTCGAGTGATATTTTTTTCACTCGAGTATGAGCTTGAAAAATACACTCAGCGACTCGAGGTCACATTATTACGTCGAAGATATTATTAATCAAAATCTTTTAAAAATAGCATAAGCACATTCCCAATGAGCACCTCACTAGATAGCGACTCTACCAAAAGTTGATTTTTGCTGGAAACGAATGGTCCAAAGCTGGTCATTTTCGTTCCTTTTAACTAACATATAAAAAAATCTGAAATTTGCAAAGTTTGAAACTTAGATAACAATAAAAATACGAAAAAGTACAAATAAAACGAGTTATTTATAGAGTTTTGGAAATTTATTTACTTTCATACATTTAAGAAAACCGGAAGGGTTGCCATGGAAAAATCAAGAAAGGACCGTACCGACATGCAGTTTGATTTCGGGAACTAATGTTTTTCTTTTAAATACTTCTAATGAGGAAGAATTAAAAGAAAACGAAAGCACTAAAAAAGCACCGCCACTAGATTGCAACTCTAGTAAAAGTTCATTTTTTTGCAGGAAACGAATGGACCTAAATATTGGTTTGGTCACAGTGACTGCATTTCCATTCCTTTTAACTAACATATTAAAAAACTAAAATTTGAAAGTTTTAAACTTAGGTATCAATACAAATACGAAAAAGTACAAATAAAATATGAGTTGTTTATTGAGTTTTGAAAACTAATTTACTTTTAAACATGAAAGTAAACCGGAAGGGTTGTCATGGAGAAATTAAGAACGTACCGTAGAGACATCAAGTTTGATTTCGGGAACTAATGTAATTTTTAAAAACTTCTTCATTGTTCATAAATATTGGTTTCTAAAGTAAAAGCAAATATTAGCTTATCACAAAGCTATTCACACACACGCATTTAGTGTAGAAATATACATTTTTAATTATTAGGTTACCATTTGAACTTCTTATCTTAACTGTCAAAATAACAATTATAGCCAATCTGTGGATCCCATTACAGGACTTTCCACAGATATGGGTTTGAGCACTAATTTTCGAAACTTAGGTTTAGAAAAATCAGTTTATCTTAAAAAAATTATCTCATTAGAATTTTGTAAAGCTCTAATAAGATTTAAATTTTATAAGTTTTATATTATAATGTCTTTATAATTACATAATATAACAAGTCACTACTTATTCTTTGAATGTATTTATTAATGATAATCCTAATTTTAAAACATAAAACTTGTTCCTCATCATTCAGAAATTAATAATGAAATAAATGCGTTTAGTTTATAATTACCTAATCTTACACAGAGGGTCTGTCCTTGATTATTTCGTACATTGTATTTGTTACGTATAATGCATTTACTATTATGCAACGATCACTGTCTTATATATTCGATATTCCCTTAGTTGCTTCTCATGGCTTCCAGAATGTAGAAAACCAGCTCACTTTTACTTTGAATGTTTTTAATAAAGATTGTTGTCACTTGGCATGTATATGTTACGAACTCTGATTAAGTGTGCAATGCAACTGCTCCTCGGACGACCTGTCGCGCACTGGCATACTGTTCGGACTGTTCGAGACACTAGCTGCGTGCGAACGGGGAACATTTAGGTATAGTTGCGCCAGGTTATAGTGGCATAGTAACACTTTTTAATAATTACTGTATGCCTGAATGTTTTTCATATCTGTTTAAACATGCACTTAAATAAATATGTTTTGTTTTTGTTTACCGATCCGTAATGTTAAGTTAAGTACATATGTATGGAACTATAGGTTTATATGTTGTTATGTTTATTTTGCTCATATATGTTTTGTTGTAACTGTTTGTTCCTGAATAAATAAAAAAAAAAAAAAATTATTATACAGATTTTTTAGGTTTTAATATTTTTTCAATCAAATCCAATAAAACGAAATTCACATACAAATTCGTACACTCACTTGGATGTTGGTTCAAACACTATTTTTGATTCAAATGTAAAGAATGTATTAATTTTAGTTAACATAAATAAATATTACTTACTGTTCCATGATTTATTCAGTAGAATTCACCAAAACTTACAATTATTTATGCAAACACAAGCATTATGCAAACAAGCACCAACTCGCGGCAATCACTGACTCAATCGTTCATAAACCCAAACATTTTTTTACCATAACTTTTTTTGTACCATAGTCGTTGGTTGATAAACGACTATGTTGGTAATACTGCTGCTCTGTCAAATCCATAATCATCATTTGTTTGTCGTTATTGCTCGCTCGCACTCGTCGGGCTAACCCATCGACATCGATAGAATTATTTTTCCAAAATCTACTTGCTGCTGATAAACAGGGACGTCAAATCCTAAAATTGGGCACAAAATTTAATTTGGGTCTTTGGTTTAACTCCTATTTTTATTATGTAAACGTAATAAATTTCTATAATTGGCTTAAAATGCATAGGATTAATTTGTCAAAAAAATACAAAATGCCGTAAAATCTAAGTTGATAAAAAAAATATTTGATCAATTATGCATTCATAAAAGTAAACTTAAAACCACAAAAACCTTTACGAAAGTATAAACAATAATGATAAAATTTATAAGAATAAACTTTAAAGATTTTTTTAGTGAACGGTCTAAATTAAAAACTTTTTATCGTCGAAAATGTTTTTACAGATAGATATATATTTTTTTTTCTTTGCAAGCTTAATTGAAATTACTGCAATGTTAGATTTTTTTAACCTAACGTTTTAGTAATTCTCAAGTAGTTGAATAATTTTAATGAGCTGTATAAAATAAGTTCGAACTAGTGGCAGCCCTGCTGATAATATCAAACAAGTATATAACGGTGAACATAGTAACAACGAGCTTAGTATGCTATAAAGCCCCTGTCATTAAACACCATACCACCGCCACAATACACTAGCAGTGATTAATTTATTATAAATAATGGATAAATACATTAGCTTGCAGGACTTGGAAGACGCAGCCACAGAGATCTTGTCAAAACCGACTGTTGATTACTTTAGAAGTGGAGCCACAGAGGAACAAACATTAGCTGAAAATAAATTAGCTTTTCAAAGGTAAACACTGATAATACTTACTTCTTTATTAATAACTCTCGAAACATTCAGCCAGACAACCGACTTCACTAATAAAAATGACGATGAAACATAGCTGAAACTGGGTGAAATGCAAACTCATTTAAAAAAATGTGTATAAATCGTAAACAGTATGATATTCTTGACTCTAATTTGAGTGATAGAGTGCAGAGCGATAGTATATATGACAAGAGATCCTCTACTTCTTTATTTAGGATGACTATTACACAAAGCTCAATGTTATTTTGTTTTTTAAGTTGCTGGCCTTCGAGCCAGTTTGAGTATTTAACTAGATACTTTTTGTCTAGAATTAGACGATGAAGACTCGTGTAGGTATTTGTAGCCGCTACGGCCTTGATGTAGTTTGGTTATCTAATATTTAGATAAAAGCAGACAAAAACAAAAACTCTGACTTAATAACATATAAAAATTGAAATCAATACGCATTAACAACTTGAAAAGTGAAATTTCGAAATACGCACTTTTCGCGGAAAACAGACTCGATGCGGTGTGGCACCGGGGGAGCCCTATGACTTTTGGACTTGGTAGTTTTCGGTTCTGGCTAGGAATTGTCACCGGGTCTTTCAATTTCAAAGTATTGTTTATCTATTTTGTTTTGCACTGACATAGACTTGTCAACATCCAACATAGATCGAGCATAATGCAGACTGAATTTGTTGTGATTTGAAGATCGACAAAAACCGGCAAACACATACTATTCTTAAAATAAAAATACTACGCTTTTATAGGCTTTTATGTTGTAAAAATAATAATTAAATATAAATATTAGACAATCTCAAACAACGCAGATTACATTTTAGAAAAGTTCATTTTTACGTTGACTGACCGGATCGAACCAAGGTAGTGTGACCTTGAAACCGACGTGCACACGTACCGACATTAGACCATAGAGGTCGTCATTTACTTTACGTATTCAGTAACATAGTTTCACAATGTCCTGTGAAATTTTGTTATACATTAGGGGGGGGAGCGGTCTGCTCCTAACCTCTTGTCATGGGTGGGCCTCCAAATAGCTGCAAGTTCTCTTGATCAAATAATAAATTGGGGCTGTACCGACTTATGTTTCATATGTCCAGTTTCGTAGTTTTAGCAGGGTTACGAAATATTAAGTTTCTACCCAGCTTGGAAAAAGTTCTAGGTCCGGGCCTGTTGCCGCCCCGGGCAGCCGTCACTGTTCCACAGGGTAAGATTTGACTGGGATTTTTTTCTGAATGACTGATGATTTTAGAGAAAAGGACCGGTCAATAGCAAGTCGCATTCGTGCATGGAGAGTTCCATGCACAAATATTAATAACCACCACTTCTTATAGGTTTTTCTGTAATCTATAGATAAAGAACAATTTTTTATATATTTTTTATTTATTTTAAGCCCAGTAGATTCGGAGAGCAGCGTCTAACATCACTAATTTATACCCGTGGAAGTTATTACCCTTAAGATAGGATTCACTTCTACTTATATGGAGTTCAGTTTTCGTACGTACCCAAAAATTATCGCCCAAGCAATATTCGAATATTTCAATGTGCCATGTACAAGGTACCCAAAAAATTACATGGTAAAAAACCTTAGAATGCTAGAACTAAAGATGTCTAAGTCTAAGAGTTCTATATAATAATATTTCAAAATTGTTTGGATACTATTATTGTTCATTAAATGGTGTGAAGTTTTTCTCGTCCATTCTTACTCACAGAAAGATGTCCTTGAAGGGGTGCTAGGAAAAAAAATATCTAAAAGAGTTGTTTCGTTGCTACTGACAATTTTGAGTTTAACTTTCGTAAAGATCACTCATCACGAAATCTCAGAAACTGCAAGTACTAGGAGTTTCTAATTTTCCATGCAGGTTCTTTTTAGGACGTAGGTGCTCACTAAGACGGGAAATTATGAAATTCGACCCCTAAGGAGGTAAATTAGGGGATGAAAGTTTTTACGGATTTTTCTCATTTCTGAACTTAAAACTAGATCACGCGACCTACATACCTACTACTTTTTCTAGGCTGCGGATACTCCCTAAATGTCTTATGGGAATCACCGGAGCTGATCTACGTACTACTATCCTGGGTCATGAAGTTTCCATGCCTATTGGTATAGCTCCTTCAGCTATGCAGCAAACCGCACACCCTGACGGCGAAGTTGCCAACGCTAAAGGTTATAAAACGAAATTTCGTCTATTTTCTAAAAGACTCCAAATATATCGGCCTAGACGAGATATAGTACCAATTAAATCTATTTGTTTCAGCTGCACAAGCGGAGGGTACTGTTTATACTCTGAGTACTGCATCTACTTGCTCCATAGAAGAAGTGGCTTCAGCGGCACCAGATGCATTTAAATGGTTCCAAGTTTATGTTTTCAAAGATAGGTCTGTATTATTGACATAGAAAATATAGATATTATTCTAAAATTCAGCTTTCATACCAATATTGTTTGTTTAACAGAGAAGTCACAAGAAAATTAGTAATGAGAGCGGAAAAAGCCGGGTTTAAAGCATTACTTCTTACTGTTGATGCACCAATTTTTGGAATACGAAGATCTGAACTCAGACACAAGTATATATTACCAGCACATATGAGGTAATTTTTCTAATAAACATTTGTATCCTATATTTCCGCATTTGAAATGGTCTTATTCGGTTCTAAAACCTACTACATATAGGTACTTAAGTGATTTCATTTTCATTAAAATTAAGTTAATAATTATATTTACTTATGTATCATAATCTCAACCCGATCTCTATAGGGACCACCTAACTTTCTAGCGATAGTGGTGATATTTCGTTTCATCTTGTTACTTTGACATGTGTTTTTATTAAATGACACTCGGTTTCTGAATTGAGTACCTATGTAAAGTTAAGCACGCACTACACTTCTCATTATAAGTTAATAACAGTTTTACAAAAACTCGGACTTTTTGCCACGTGAAAGGTAAAAAGCTTAATTTATTTAGAATAATCAGTTGAGATTTTGTACTTTTCTCAATTCAGAAACCAGCGGTAAGTTGGTAAACTGGTGTCAAATCCATTAATTATCATTATTTATCAACCGTTTGTCTTTATTAAAATACATGCCAAAGGAATAATAAATCCAAATTTTGCCCTAACATCTGTTCGGTTAATGACCGAACACTGCATCATATGCATTTTACGTAGTTTAGGTAAATAAGCGCGGCTCGTGGCGAAAAGTAGGTCACCGCCGGCCAGCCTGTAGTTACATATGTTTTTTCAGTAGAACATTTCGATCCCCGTTACCGGTTGGATGTTCTCTCTAACAATTATCTCATTTATCATTAACATTAACATTTTAAATTAACATTTAATAGACTTAGTAAACAATATTAACTTTTGATAGATACTTAGTAAAGTGACTTCAATACAAACATTATTTTTACTTTATCCTCCCCTACGCTACGCATACTCATCTCCGAACAGTGGTCCTTCGAGCGACCACCTCGCGCGCGTATAATCGTGACTTTGGGGTGGTGAACAGTGAACATTGGGGTACAGTGTGTGTGTGTGTATATAAAGAGGATTTAACAAACAGAGGTTTCATCAGCGTGCTTCTCTAGTAACTACTTGGTTGCTAGACTGAAACAGTAAGATCATCAACAACACAGCATAAACCAAGTAAGATCTTTCCATTTACATTACATTTACATTTTCTGATTTTTTGCAACAAACATGGAAGGCATCATGGAAACGCAAAGCGAGCTGATGCGAGCTATGGACACGCTCCTTACCAATTTCAAGAAGGATTCTGTCTCCCGTAAGACTCCTTCTAATATACAACGCCGCCTAGAAATGCTAGATACTTATTGGAACGAATTTCAAGAGAATCATTTCAGATTGGACGATGAAGTATTGAACAAAGCTTCTTATGCTTATTTCAACGAAAATCATTATAAACAAACTGAAGATTTTTATAAACAAACAAAGAGTTACATTGAGAAGTATTTAACAATGAGCGATAAGAAAGGGCAAGAGCAAGCAGGCACAAGTAAGGTTTTAGAAATGGTTACCGAAGTCGAACAGGTCACTACACAGAAATTACAAAATGAAGAAGAAAACAAGGTCAGCAAAGAATCATTAAACACTATGTCTAAGTTGTGGCGTAAGCAGGAGGCTAACTTTAAAGCCTTCAAACGAACCCTTAGTATTATTGAAGTGGAAACATCATTGGAAAAGTGGGAATTAGAAGATTCGTTGAAAACATTAGAGATGCGTTGGTCAGAGGTAGATAAGTTACACTGGGAAATTGTGTGTGAAAATGACGATGACAGTGAGTATGAAGGGAAATTTAATTTTTACGAACGGAAATATATAAACACTAAGAAGGCAATAAACACAAAAATATGGTCCATGATACATCGCGAAAAAGCAACTCCACAATTGGATATTCCAATATTTAATGGAAATTATAACCAATGGGTACCATTCAAAAATTTATTTCGAGAAGCCATTCATGACAATCCATCAATGTCTGACGCACAGAAGATGCAATTTTTACGCAGCAAAGTACGCGGTGATGGCGAGCGTTTAATACAACACCTGGAAATAAGTTCTGAGAATTATAAAGCTTGTTGGGACATCCTAAATAATCGCTACAATAACAAGAAACTTATATTTACGTCACACATGAATACTCTTATGGGTTTACCTAATATGCAACATCAATCGGCAGGACTAATAAAGAAAATTCACGATGGAACAATAGAAACCTTAAACGCGATAAAAAATCTCAATATCGATATTTCAACGTGGGACCCCTTACTCATACATTTACTGTCTCAGAAGTTGGATGCTGAAACTCATTCAGATTATATAGAATCTTTAAAAAACCCACGTGAATTACCGATTTTATCTGACTTTTTAAGATTTTTGGAGGCGAAATTTACAGCTCACGCAGGAAACAAGAAAGCAGTCAGCAAAAGTCAAATCACTATTTCAGCAGGGAATATTCTACTCAAAATAAAAGTTCACAATCGTCAAATCAAAGTCGACATAACAATAACATTCAACATAAGTATATAAAACCATTCACGAAATCATATCATATTTCAAGTAATTTTAAATGCCCTCTATGTTCTCGTGATCATGGTATTTACAACTGCAAAAGCTTTCTTGAGATGACATCTGAACAGAAATTAAAGACTGTAAATAAGCTCAAGTTATGTGTAAATTGCTTATTTAGTCATAACGGGAGTTCATGCACCTCCACAAAAACGTGTCGTAAATGTACAAAACAGCATAGCACGATATTGCACGATGCATACCCATCAATTTCGCCGACTCAGGCGTCCACTTCGCGGTCATCGAACGGAAACTATTGCAATGAAAATCATACTATAACAAATTCGCACATATCGCAAAACAACGACTCTGAGATTTTATTAGCAACTGCGATGTTAAAAGTAAAATCTATGGACGGAACTTACATTAACATAAGGGCCTTAATTGATCAAGGCTCACAGATTTCGTTGATTACAGAAAAGGCAGCTCAACAATTAGGTATTAAGAGACAAAAATGCAAGGGAACAATATTTGGAGTCGGAGAAAAGGAAAACTCTTGTAAAGGATTGTCTAACATAGAGTGTCGTTCATCGTACAACGACTTTACATTTAACGCGGAAGCATTTATAATGAACAATTTAATAAAGTGTCTACCGAATAAAACATTTGAAAAACCATCCTGGAATCATATATCGAACATAAATTTAGCTGACCCGGAATTTTACAAAAGTAGACCAGTTGATTTATTATTAGGAGCAGATATTTATTCTATCATAATATTGAATGGAATTATTAAGGGCGAGCATGCACCACTGCCCATCGCTCAACAAACACAATTAGGTTGGTTGCTATGTGGTAATGCCAAAACCTATCACTGCAACGTGGTTATAAATAACACAAACGACATACAACGCTTTTGGCAAATTGAAGAAATTAGCGAACCGTCAAATTTATCCGTAGAAGAACAAGAATGTGTTCATTTCTTTACAACAACTACAGTAAGAAAAGAAGATGGTCGTTATGAAGTACGCTTACCTCTTAAAGAAGATGCAGAGAAGAAGCTGGGATCCTCAAAACAGATGGCTATAGCGCAATTTAGGAATTTAGAAAATAAATTTGAGAAACATTTACAACTATCGAATGAGTATAAAGCTTTTATGAATGAATACTTTTCTTTGGGTCATATGAAACTTGATACTAATAGTAACACATCCATTGAATGTTATTTACCACACCACGGAGTTCAACGCCAAGAGTCGACGACCACATAATATAGGGTTGTATTTAACGCATCTGCCAAAACATCTTCAGGCTATAGTCTTAACGACGTAATGTACGCCGGCCCTAATCTGCAACACGATTTGCAGACATTGCTCTTAAAATGGCGACAGTATAAATACGCGTTTACTGCCGACATCGAGAAAATGTTTAGGCAAATATTAATTGCAGAACAAGATCAAAATTTACAAAAAATAATATGGAGGGATACACAGTCTCAGCCCCTACAAACTTATACTTTAACAACTGTTACATACGGTACCAAGGCAGCACCCTTCTTGGCAATGATGACATTGCGAAAACTGGCCGCGGATGAACGCCAAACATATCCCGAGGCAGCTAAAGTGCTAGAATCTGCGTGTTACATGGATGACGTAGTCCATGGAACACATTCATTAACTGACGGGAAGAAATTAATTATTGAACTTATCTCATTACTTAAATCAGGTGGAATGAATTTAAGGAAATGGTCATCTAACGATAAGGAGTTACTGACAAACATAAAACAACAAGAACAAAATAACATTGAGGAGTCCATATATACCTTTAAAACAGAAAATAACTCCAAAACATTAGGACTTGGATGGAACTCAGTAACTGATAAGTTCACGTTTCAATGTAAGATAGCGGAATCAAATAAAAAATTAACTAAACGCAATTTGTTGTCCGAAATATCAAAATTATTCGATCCCCTCGGTTGGCTTTCCCCGTTGTCAACAAAAATGAAATTACTTTTTCAAAAAATATGGAAGCTCAATTTACGATGGGATGACCTGGTTCCGGAAAATATTATCAATGAGTGGTCTAAGATAATAACAGACATTCAATTAATAAATACAATAGAAATACCGAGGTGGATACGGTCAAAGGCAGATAACGTCATCATACTACATGGGTTCTGTGACGCGTCTGAAGAAGCGTACGCTTGCATTGTTTATGCACAGATCAAAGGCCACCCCGAAACTAACCTAGTAGCCGCAAAAAGCAAACTTGTGCCGTTTAGAAAGGCTTTATCATTGCCAAAATTGGAGCTTAGCAGCGCACTGTTACTAGCTAAGTTCGAAGTAAATGGCTGGACGGACTCTATGGTTACATTAGGTTGGATACAAGGTGAATCCAGTCGTTGGAAACCCTTTGTAGCCAATAGAGTCGAAAAAATCATTAAAATATTGCCAAGTGACCGCTGGAAGTACGTGAAATCAAGCGACAATCCAGCGGACGCAGCCAGCAGAGGCTTATATGCTTCCCAACTGAAAGGAAATACTCTCTGGTGGGACGGACCATCGTGGCTTTCTATATATAATATGCAACAGACAGAACAGATAAAATACCATACAGATTTAGAATTAAGAAGAAAATTTCATAAACAAACAAACATTGTACAAACAGTAGAGAGTAAAAATTTAATTGATTTATTATTACATAAATATAATTCTATAACACGTATCATTCGCATAATTGCATGGATACTACGGGCAATGAACTTACAGCGTAAGCATTTACCTAAACATATCACGTTGCAAGAAATAAATAAAGCCACATTTATCATTGTGAAATTTGTGCAAGCAAACGAATTTAGAGCGGACATTGACCACTTACAGAAACACGGAATTGTAAAACCAAATAGTAAACTAATTAATTTACATCCAATCATTTGTGAACAAGGTATCTTGAGAGTCGGTGGAAGATTAAAACACAGCACTTTAACATTTGAAATGAAACACCCAGCAATTATCCCAGCGAACCATCCGATGACTACTTTATTGATAAACAGATCCCATTTGGAAACATTCCATGGTGGTCCACGCTTAACATTAACACGGCTTCGAGAACAGTTCTGGATCCCTGGAGGGGTCAATGTTGTGAAAAAACAATTACGATTGTGTGTAAGCTGCCGAAAACAACAACCTCAACTGCTACATCAGTTTATGGGTGACCTCCCTGAGGTGAGATCAAACCCTGCGCCACCTTTCTTTCATACCGGAGTAGATTACACAGGATTTATTGATATCAAGATTAATAAAGGCCGGAGCGCCCGAACTACGAAAGGTTACGTTGCCGTATTTACTTGTATGGTAACTAAGGCCGTTCACCTGGAAGTTGTGTCGGATTTGACAAGCTCAGCGTTTTTAGCCGCCCTGCGCCGAATGGCGGCCCGCCGTGGAGCTCCTGCACATCTATACAGTGATAATGGCACGAACTTCCATGGAGCAAATAACATTCTCAAGCACGAATATTGTCAGATAAAAGAAACACTGAATGATAGTTTTTTAAATGAAGTAACTGACATGAACATCGAATGGCACTTCACCGCACCAGCTTGGCCAAGTTCTGGAGGTTTGTGGGAACGGGCTGTGCGAAGCTTGAAGTATCATCTGAAACGCGTAGTCGGACAACATAAATTAACATTCGAAGAGTTTTCTACTATACTTACTCAGTTAGAAGGCTGCTTAAATTCGAGACCCCTTTGTGCGCTCACAGAAGATATCGATGACCTAAACATTCTAACCCCAGCTCACTTTTTGACTGGGAGAACAGGTTTGACAGTCATCGAAACCGCAGAAGACGCCCGCACGCGGTGGCATGTGGTAACAAAAATCTTTAAAGATATCTGGAATAAGTGATGTGCTGAATATCTTACTCAGTTGTCTGCGCGAGGAAAATGGCAACAGCCACAACAAAACATTAAAGACTATGTCTCCATAGTTATCATCCATGAAGAAAATTTGCCCGCGGGGAAGTGGGCGATGGGCCGAGTAACCGAGACCCATCCCGGTTCGGACGGCTACGTTCGTGTGGTTACATTGAAAACAAAAAACGGATGGCTCAAGAGACCCGTTGTCAAATTATCACTTCTACCGATTGAGTCGCACGAACATAAGACAAAGGCAGAACATAAAATAGAACAAACATCTAAGGAACGACCCAAACATCACACATTGAAAAATAAAACAACATTATCTACTCTTTTTATGACATTTGTTTATTTCTTTACGTTAATCATGCAATGTTTGGGAGCGAGTACCATAACAGAGTTAAATAAAAATCAAACATTATATTTTGATCCCGTAAAAAACGTTCAACTAAGTCGAGACACATGGGCATTAGTTGTGTATTACGATATGAATCCTTACTGGGAAGGAAATTCTGCATTTGTCAAACTACACAATTATTTAATAACAACATGCTCTATATTAAGTTCTGATAACCAATGCAATATGATAATACCACAGTTGAATCACCAATTCGTCGAACTTCAGTACTACAATGAACTATTACTAAGTCAGCAGTTTGACCACCACGCCAGACGTCGCCGAGGTCTTATTGATGGAGTGGGATACGTAGCAAATACGATGTTCGGCTTATTGGACCAACGTTTCGCAGAAAAATACACTAAAGATATAGAACAGATCAAACAAAATCAAGCCCATATAACTAACTTGTGGAGAAACCAAACTTCTATAGTCGAATCGGAATACAATCTAATAAAAAGAACTGAAACAATTATTGCGAAACAGCACAAAATAATAAATAAACATTTGAATAACGTTGACCAAACCATAAGTGTTCTGGAAAAACAGGTCAACCGGGTATCTCTTGAAGAAGATTTCACTTTGTCCGTGATCTCCGCACAACAGATATTACAAACCCTCAAAGATATCCAACAAACTCTCCTGGATACTGTGACAGACATATACCAAGGACATTTTAACATGCATTTGCTGACGCCACATCAATTACAAACAGAACTAAACAAAATCTCAGGTTTGCTATCAGCTGACATTACGCTCCCTATATCCAGTATACAGTCGGACGTAAAGGATATCTACAAATTACTAAAAATTAAAGGAAGAATGACTCAGGATTATTTCATATTTGAAATAAATATACCTTTAGTTGATAGAGATTCTTATGATCTATACAATGTTATTTCCATACCACAACAAATCGGCAACCTTATGAGGAAAATAACAACCATATCAAATTTAATAGCGATTAACCTACAGAAGGATTCTTATATAACAGTATCCCCTGAAGACTTTCGAAACTGCTTAAGAAAGGATCTGACAACCTTACTCTGCCATTTTAACAGCCCTGTATACAAATTAAAAAATGATTTAGATTTGTGCATAAAAAGTCAAGAAAATATAAACCGCTGCAAAACAAACACTGTCACGTGCCAAAGTGAATGGCATACCTTATCAAAACCTAACACCTATTTATTTACATGTTGCGGTCAATGTCAAGTACGAAGTATATGTAAGGATCAAGTTACTGCGCATCAGGTGACGAGCCCGAGTCTTATCAGCATAGAAGGCGACTGCTCGATTAAAACTGACAATTTCTCCGTGTACGCTCAAAATTTTCAAAGAAATTCAATTACTATACATGATAATATAGGAATTCACTACATAGCTCCAATTAATTACGTTATAAACATAAGCATGGAACATTATAATAACAGTTACGATGACTCGGAGACGAAACAAATATCAAAGGAGATCGAAACAAAGATCCAGATGCTAAAGGATGCCAAATTATCATTAGATTCGAACCCGTTCACATCTCATGACATACATCAATATACATTGTTATACGGTATGATGGCGGGAGCTGCATTAGTAGGAGCAATTCTGTTATTTCGCCGAGTTCGACGCGGTAGAGGACTGCCTGCGGTTTTAGATGCAGAAGCGCCTGTGCAGGGCGCCGCAGACGGGCAGGCGGCGGTGCGGCCAGAGTCGCCGGCGCCGCTGCCCGCCCGCTCCACCAGCATGGGTCATCTTAGTGACGTCAGTGTGAGTGATAGTGCGCGAGTGCGTAAATATAATAGTGAAACCGAGTTAAAGGTTTTAAAATCAGTGCCGGTTACAAAAAGATTACTATTTCGTGAGTGAACAGACTGACATTAAATAGAGACTTTGCCTAAGTAACAAAACATTTGGTTTATAATTATCTCAATTTCAAATCATTTCATTAAGTATTATTTAACACTATCATTAGCACTTAGAGTTAAAAATTGTCGATCATCTTGTCTCATCAACATTATTAACCCTCATTTCTATTGTCATTATCTTTTACAGTTCCTTATTTTTCCCGCCCGGGAATATGTTCGGTTAATGACCGAACACTGCATCATATGCATTTTACGTAGTTTAGGTAAATAAGCGCGGCTCGTGGCGAAAAGTAGGTCACCGCCGGCCAGCCTGTAGTTACATATGTTTTTTCAGTAGAACATTTCGATCCCCGTTACCGGTTGGATGTTCTCTCTAACAATTATCTCATTTATCATTAACATTAACATTTTAAATTAACATTTAATAGACTTAGTAAACAATATTAACTTTTGATAGATACTTAGTAAAGTGACTTCAATACAAACATTATTTTTACTTTATCCTCCCCTACGCTACGCATACTCATCTCCGAACAACATCTATGGCAAGAGTTAGAGAGATGCAGTCGCTCCTTTAGAAATGCGGCAATGTTTTAGTAAAGGTATTAAATTTATATGCCAAAAGATACTGGGTAGGAATGTTACTGATAGATAAATGGTTCGTTATGTAAAGAAACATTTTTGATATTATTTTCACATATGAAAAGTTTCACACCACATGTTTTTATTTATTTCAGACTAGCTAATTTTGAAGAATATTTACCCACACCAACAGATGAGGCTAAAGAGGACAGCATAAGAAGTTACGTCGGAGGCTTATTTGATAAATCATTGAGCTGGGAAGCTGTAGAATGGTTAAAAAGGTTAGTTTTATGAAAACTACAAAAAAAAAAAGTTTCTCTAATAGGGAATATGCACATTTTTATTTATTAAATAATCGTTCACAGCTTTAATATAAAAAAAAAGATATGAATAGGCTTGAAAATTTTCTAATTATTTTTCAAAGTGTAATTGAAAACATTGAACAAACAGCCGTTCAAACGCCGCCATTTAGCGGGCGCTTTTGCTAACGTCTTTGGTTGTGTTCAGTGTTTGTTTACTATAGTGTGTCAGTTACTTCATATTCATACTCAGATTTAATTAAACAAATATTGGCAGAAGTTAAAAACCTTTCATATAAGTATTGTATGGTTTATTAAAAAATGGTTTATTTATAAAGGTAAACTTTCAAATATTTTTTGTTATTATTATTATTACGTTTAAAATAATTTTTATTAAGAATCTAATTTGTCGCAGCATAACGAAATTACCGATAATAGCAAAGGGTATACTCCGTGCTGATGATGCAGTGAAGGCCGCGAAAGCAGGCTGCTCCGCCATACTGGTGTCCAACCACGGCGCCAGGCAACTAGATGGAGTTCCAGCGACGGTAATGATAACTTGTTATGTCGTTCCCTTCGATCAACAATCGAAGGTCGTCCCCAATTATGTATTGAACGTCATTGGTCGTCCCCGTTATTTTACAAATTAACGACTTTCATTTTTGTCAGATTTGACTACCTTTTTATCTGTTCCAAAATTGAGATGGGCCTTTCGCAATATTATGTATTTTATATACAAATAGCTTTCCGACAGCGGTTCCGCCGGCGTGGTACCTAGGGAACTGTTTGTTTGGATATCGATTTACTTCATTCATAACTTGACATGGATATAATTACAATGACAAATTGAATAGTAAAAAAATTGTAGTAAAAATAATGGGTATTATTTTGATCCCTCTAGTTGCTGTTCTCTGTATTTTTAATTTTTTAAATCGGTCCAATAAATTGAAGAGCCTATTCGTTGCAAACAAACAATTGAATCTTTCCTCTTTATAATATTTTTGAGTCTCCAAAAATATTCTCGCATCACGCTCCCCTTTTTGCGTTACCTATGGGGTTGTTTCGTATTCACCTACGACTTCTCATCCTACGCATTATTTTTTCCTTACTCATTATATTTATGTTCTTTACTCAACCTGCAACAATTAGATTTATTTTAATTCATCCCATCAGTATTCTTAGCCCATCCTTTTTTTAAATCACTTGAATAATTTAAGATTTCTGTGTACGGTCTGAACAAAATTATTGTCTTTTTATCGAAGTTAATTCTTGTTTCGTTACCATGCTACTTACTACCGAGTTGTTTGGTCATAAACATATAGGTAGAATATATTAAAAAAATGATCTTTAGTTGAGGTACTTGGAGTGACAAAAGAATTTTTCATTGGTAGTACTTATTTAAATCAATAATTTAAAACGAACTCAGGGGTTGCATTTTTATGACTCGTGGGTGTGGAAGAGCGAACAAAATACTCGCTGACTCGATGTCTCATTTTATGACAAAAATGATTTGGACAAAAATGTATATAAACTATATATAACGCGAAGTTTAAAGTTTTCAGTATATTGCAATAAAAGATACACTTTTTTTCAGATTGAAGTGTTGCCTGAAATCGTAGACGCAGTGAAAAACTACAACTTGGAAGTGTATTTGGATGGGGGTGTGACGACTGGTACTGATGTCTATAAAGCTTTGGCGCTTGGAGCAAAAATGGTATTAATATCTAATTAAAGTGCATTATAATACCACAAATGGTAGGCACTTAATAAATCGCGCAATAATATGTCTTGCTAGAAGGCGCTTCCAAAAATACAGATCGTTCTTCTGTTGGTAGACTGACTTACGTCAGAGTAGCTATAGAGAGTAGTCGACACTGGAAGATATAAAATTATATTTGCGGTCCTTGCGGCATTATATTACTTTGATCATATCCGTTACAAGCATGCCCGTAAGCTCATTACAAACGGTGATGATGCGGAGCACCATGGGAAAGACGAAAAAAAATTATCATTATTCGAAAATTTACTTTACCACTTTGTCTTCATAATTAACCTGTATCCTCCTGCCAAATTCCTACAACTTTCTAGTACCGATACTTTTTGAACTATACCGCGGACGGATGGACAGATAGACAAGAAATCTAAAATACGGAAATTGTGAAACGGGTCCTTATTAACAACGGAACTCTAAAAAAACGGAGATTTTTAATTAACATGTGTTTTGTTTATGAATTTAGCGATGTTTTGCTAAATTAAACTAATATTAAAACAGGAAAATACCGTGTCGTATAATTAATATGCAAGTAGCCGGCCATCACGCGGCCGCTGCGTGTTCAAAGCGTAGATAGTAACAAGCGGCGGTGTTTATGGGTTTATAGGAAGCGATTTAAAAAATACAAAACATCTGATAACCAAAAGATACCGATAACGTTGTCATCGAACTCGTCAATTTGCACTACAAAAATATTATCTGAACATCGGTCGTTTTCTTTTATTTAGGTTTTAGTTGGACGACCAGCACTATGGGGACTCGCTGTCGGCGGGCAAGCTGGTGTTCAGAGAATGCTCAACATACTACGCACTGAACTTGAGACTACGGTTCAAATAGCAGGTATATTCATGATTAGTTCTATGTTTCTCCTAGCAAACTTTAAGTATACGCCATACGACCAACGCACGCCATAGCTTACAATTCACTAAACCTTAGACAGGCGTCTCACGGAAGTACGACGAGTGTACAAGGTCGAATGTTAATTTTGTCAGTTCTCACGTTCCGCATTCAACGAAACGCGACCCATCTGTCGTTATATATGTACCTACCTTGACTGTATATTTATCTGACGTATATATTTTTCAGGTACTCCAACACTAGCAGATATAACACGCGACATGGTGCGTCACCATTCTAGTTATAGTAAGTTATAATGTAATAATATAAAGTTATAAATTATAATCAAACAGGGTTCAAAAAGCTTTATAATTTCAAATTATTTTAATTTGTTATTGTAACGAAGTTTTTGTTCTGTTATTTAATATCTAATAATAATATTTAACATAAAAGCGTATTGTTTTATAAAAACCCTTATTGTACTGTTCAATACTCAGGCCTCTCACATAAAAAGAAAAGTAATAATGTATATTTAAACAAGTTTATTGATAAAATTATTTTATTATAAGTTTACGATACAAATTGTAAAGTATCTCTGGAGTCATATAATTTTCACGGGGCCACATAGCTCTCGATATTTTCTGGAAAAAGGACAAATAAATTTCTTAAAAATATCAACTTGTGCGCAAAGTTAAAATATTGTTTAACTTTAATACAATATAATCCTCGAATAAAAATTCTAGTTATTTATGAAACAATAGATCCTGTTTCATAATATTATTTACTATGCCGTGAAATAAATTGTTAAGTACTATTATGCATTTTCATTTTATCCTCAAATCTGCTTATAGACAGACACAATATGCACGCCCTAAAGTGTTATTTTTATTGACAAGACGCAACTGGTAGGGCGCTTGTGCACTACACTGAATTTTCATGTCCGGCGGTCCGATTTTTTCAGGTCCGATATGTCAGGCCATATGTAGGTAATGCGCGCTTGTGCACTGTCAGGAATTTTACCGTCCGGAATTTGAATTTGAGATTCGGAAAATTCATAAGGAATAGGCTTGGGAAAAAATAATCGATTTGAATCGATATTTATTTCGGCAATATTGTTAATTTCCTATAAACTTATAATCGATATTTATTGTTGATTATAAAATGCTATATTTTATATGTTGATTTAATATAGTTGGTATATATCACTGCATATGCTTTGGCAAACTCGGTATAGTTCTAATTTGATCAGCGTGTGGTTCTAGTATCGATATTTAGCTAGATTTTAGAATCGTATTAAAAGTATCGATAGCTTAAGGTAAGATAAATAAGTGTTGTTACGCTTAGACGCCTAAACAACTGAACCCATCTAAATGGAAATTAATATAGTAAATAGTCTTAACTTTAAGAAAGGACATAGGCTACATTTTATCGCGAAAAATAGGGGATGAAAGTTTGCCTGAAAATTTGTCATTATCAAATTTTTTTTAGACAATTGATAAGTATAGATAAATATTTGACAACAGAAGTAATAATAAAGAATAAACAGAAGATTAACAAAAGTAATTAAGTGACACTCAATGTCTTTTTCGCATTTAATATAATTTTAAATGTATGTTTGTGTCATTTATAAATTTTATAAAAAGAAGTATTCTAAGGGAATAATATTTCTGCTCAAAGAAACTACACCACGCGTATAAAATTATGCCTTTATATATATACAGTCAACTGATCTTGTAAAGTTCATTTAGCATTATAATTCTCCGCTTACACGGCACTAATTTCGATTTGTTTACGAAATGGCGCCACCGATAGGTCTATCTCTGTAATCGCTGAAAGTTGTTTTTACAAAACTTCGAAAAAAAATAACACGTTTAAAAATTTTAACATCAAGTACTAGACCATTATCAGTAATTTTATTTTAATGTCACAGATATTTTTAGCTATTGTATGTGAATCATGCTGTTCCCAAATTAGTAAGAGTATAAGTTTTTACATCTCATAGTAGTCATCCGATAGTAGTAAAAAAATGCTTTCGTCTTGCCATAATTTATCATGGTTTATGTAAAACGATCAGATCATTATTTAGGTACCTTTCTACGACTTCGAACGGAATTACCGACGTTCCAAAAATCTCATCGTACCTAGCCTAAGTGACGTGTAGCTTCAAAGAGAGCTGCTCTACACTGCGCCGCTCCGATCAGGCGCTTGTGCACTACACTGAATTTTCAGGTCCGGCGGTCCGATTTTTTCCGGTCCGGAATGACATGAAAAACTCGGATGAGTAGCTTGTGCACTTGTCCGTTTTTTTCCTGATCGGATCGGATCTGAGACCAATCGGTGGCGCCATTTCGTAAACAAATCGAAATTAGTGCCGTGTAAGCGGAGAATTATTATGCTAAATGAACTTTACGAGATCAGTTGACTGTATATAGGTATATAGGCATAATTTTATACGCGTGGTGTAGTTTATTTGAGCAGAAATATTATTCCCTTAGAATACTTCTTTTTATAAAATTTATAAATGACACAAACATACATTTAAAATTATATTAAATGCGAAAAAGACATTGAGTGTCACTTAATTACTTTTGTTAATCTTCTGTTTATTCTTTATTATTACTTCTGTTGTCAAATATTTATCTATACTATTAATTGTCTAAAAAAAGTTGATAATGACAAATTTCCAGACAAACTTTCATCCCCTATTTTTCGTGACAAAATGTAGCCTATGTCCTTTCTTAAAGTTAAGTCTATTTACTATATTAATTTCCATTTAGGTGGGTTGAGTTGTTTAGGCGTCTAAGCGTAACAACACTTATTTATCTTACCTTAAGCTATCGATACTTTTAATACGATTCTAAAATCTAGCTAAGTATCGATACTAGAACCATACGCTGATCAAATTAGAACTATACCGAGTTTGCCAAAGCTTATGCAATGATATATACCAACTATATTAAATCATCATATATAATATGTCATAATATAGCATTTTATAATCAACAATAAATATCGATTAAAAGTTTATTGGAAATTAACAATATTGCCAAAATAAATATGGATTCAAATCGATTATTTTTTCCCAAGCCTATTGCTTATGAATTTTCCGGATCTCGGACACAGCAGTGCACAAGCGTAAACACGTTTTTCATTGCCGCCATCACGGACCTGAAAAAACCGGTCCAGAATAGAGAAAAGTCAAATTCCGGACGGTAAAATTCCTGACAGTGCACAAGCGCGCATTACCTACATATGGCCTGACATATCGGACCTGAAAAAATCGGACCGCCGGACATGAAAATTCAGTGTAGTGCACAAGCGCCCGTAGAAGCCTAAAGAATATATGGTGCTTATAAAATTATGGCGATTGATTTCTTATCAAATTTTTTAGTTACATTTTTAAAATACTGCAAGTCCCAAACCTATTCATTTTAATATCGCCCAAATTGAACTCAAATATTATCTTATTATTCCCATCTCACCTTAAAGTCACAACCGTATATATTTATTCCGAGTTTTAGTTTCCTTATGGTTTCTCTTAAATATTCGTCGCTTATAATTTTCCGTTTCAGTTGGAGAGTATCGTTGCAGGTCTTACAATTATCAAAATTCCTTTCATCGCTGACTCCGCTTGTATTTTTCGTCACATCATTAATTAGACCAGCATCACGTTTCCGCATGTATTCAGTGAAACTGTAACTACACGACTCATTGGCTCCTGCATTGGTATTTGACGCAGGCGCTATATCCTTCGCTTCCATCTTAGATCTATTACTTTTGAATATATTTGTAACAGTCTTCACTAGAGTTGTGCATGAATCATTTATGACGTCAAACAGCCTGCTGCTTATCGATCTATTTTTCAACGAACGCATTTTGGAGTTATCCTTTTTATTTTGAGGCTTTTGGTTAGTTTTGTATTCATCGTTTCTAACGTTAACCTTTTTGATAGTCCTAAGACTACGTCCGCTAAAACAGGAACGTTTTGAAGAATTCATAGTTCTATTGTACCTATGTTTTGGTGTTGATACGAAAGTTGGCCTGAAGTCTGATGTGTTTGAATTATTTAACATATTATGTACTCCACTTTGTTTTTGAAACAGTGTATTATTAAAATTTGAAGAACAATTATTTACAATTGGCACGTCGTAGTCTTCATTAGCTGTCCGCTTTGATAATTGCTTAATCATAGTAATTTCTTGTATTTGCGATTTAAATAAATTTCTATTATTATGTATCAATGAATCTTGTGCTGGCTCTTTTTGTAAAAACGAAAAATTCAAATCGTTATGGGAATTATTTGATAGTTTCGATAACGGTCTGAGCGGATCTTTTATATTTATGTATCCAGGAGGTAAATTTTTTCTTGAAATAATTATTGTTTTCATTACTATAATTTGAGTTATTATCAAAAGACATCGTCATTTTTCTTCTCGGTTTTTTCATAGATATGTTTGCGTTATATTGATATATCTCCCTTATGACATTCTGTAGCAATTTCGCTGTATCATCATACTTAGGTTTTAAGAATGGTGCATTTAAATGGTTATTAGTCTTGGTTAAATCTTTATTTTCTATCTTATAACAACTCCTCTCATCATCTTTCAGACCTGTCAATAAAGACATGGAATCGCTTTAAAAAAAATGGTTTTATACTTAAATGAAATATGTATGTAAGAATGTAAAGGGCATCAAAAGTACCGAATTGGAATGTGTATTATACAAATACCACCTGTTCCTATTTTTTTTATTTATATTTCTGGGACAATCTTAAGTAACAAAAAACTAAAGTGAAACAAAAATGCTGCGTTTACCTTTTAGCCGTGTTTTTAAATGATATATTATGACAGTCGCCCACTGTCCAACCTTTAAATAAAAATCATATTTATATCAATATATATTTATATCATTTGTGTCATCATCTCAGTATTTGCTGGTATCAAAGTTAATATAATATTCATCCAAGCCATCAAAAACTGCACACTTATATTTATTATTGTTATTAGTAATCAAATCATAGTAAAAATTAAGGGGGAGGGATTAAAATAACGGTTGCAATAACGGGCCTGGCTTCACCCCAAAACAAAAAACTTTTCATTTTAAATTAGTAGGTCAATTAGCTCGTTCAACCAAACTAACAAACTCATCAACTTATTATAGTATAAATTGAAATAAGATTTAACTAAACCTCTAAATGGTCAACACTGCGTTCAACGTCGAGTTTGTGGCATTTTTTATAACAGAGTATCACTTTAAACAACCCTTTTAATTTTTACTCACCCGATTATTTACGCCATGAGCCATTTTAAAGTATTGTAAATGTTGAAAAACTTGCGTAGATAACGAATGTAAAGATTCTATTGGTACATTTTGAATGAACATATCTAAGAGATGCAAGCAAACGTCGTATTGCATGAGTTCTCTGAAAAACAAATAAAGATGCCATTCCACGGGAGTCCACGACAGAGAATAGCCCTGCACGTGTAGCATGACAAATTCCAAAAACGCTTTGTCTACACCCAAATGTCACTTTCTCGGGTCGAGAGTGAGATATAGTATGGGCGTATCCGAGAAAAGTGACATTTGAGTGTAGACAAAACGTTGTCGAGTTCGTCATGCTACGCGCTGGAGACATACATAAACTACCTCACATCTGTCTCTGCCAAACGTTTAAAAATTCTTAAGCTACTAAACGCATTTGCATGCAGCTTTAATGTGTTAAAAGAATACTCATGTTAATCTACGGGTGAAGCTTGAGAATGACCGCTGAATGTATCAAGCTACTTGGAAGACGTATTTTTGAGTTTACCAAAGAATATGCAAGCAAAATCAACCAACTAACTTTTAGAAATAAGGCCACCAATTGTACTGTCTGTTATATCATTATGTGTTGTTCATTTACTTGTGGCGTGTACAATAAAGAGTCTTTCATTCATTCATTCAAACTGTCCGCGATTAAGCGTGGACTTGTGAATTATAATTCCTAAGTATCTGTATAGTTGAGTGGTTTCATCTCTGTTTGAGGTACTGGTTTCGATTTCCGGTCGGATCAATGCCGAAAATTATTTTTTCCATATAGTTCTATTTAGATGTTGTGGTACCTTCTATGTAAATACTCCATACTCCATAATACGAGGAATTTAGCTACTTTACTACTCTTTTGTAAGTTATTTTTAACCTGCAGCTTTAAGTTAGTTCGAGTCGGTTTCTTAAAATTTTCATGTAAATATATGTCCTATATTTAACACTAATTATGAATATGAAAATCCAGATCATACCTATTGAATATTGATACACCGTTGCAGTCCAAGAACAATTTCATGTTATGAGGGTTATTGTTCAACAAACTTTTAAGAGTCTGTATAACTTCTGAATCCGCTTGCGTACACTTTTTCACACACTTGAAATATTATAGATAAAATGATTAGTACCTATTTAAATCAGCATCTGTTGAAGATTGGCTCGAGATGAAGAATGATTTAAACGTCTCACCTGCGCAATTAAATGAGAACAGTATATCTGGTTTTCATGACAATGTTGACATGATTCTGCAATACACCTACAGAGGGCGCTCCAAGTATCTTGATGCTACGATAACAAAACAATATCAGTGTCATTAATAAACAAGGTTTAGCGTGGGAGTAAATATACGCTGAGACTGCACTTAGTATTAGTCAAAATTCATATTATTATATTTTTTTTTCTATTTATTTGGGTAAACAAACAGTTACAAAGTAATTACAACATATTAGTAGTAGTATACTATATTACTAACTTTGACACCAGCACCGTTTACCACATATTTATCAATTACATACAATTAAGAGTGAAAGTAAAGTATATAATGAAGGTGTTATGGGTGTCATACAAAATCATAGAAAGAGAAGGGACAATACAAGAACTTGGCGCAGATCGCAAGATTAAGTTACATGTAAATATAGTTTTGTTACACTAAGCGTTATTTAAGTAAATATACTATATTGTGTATATATATTTAACAGAGACATAGCAAAGATAAACCTAGTACGAGGTTCTACGGGAGTAATGTTTACTCCTAGAAGGAAGTAGGTTTGCTCATTCTCTGTATAATAAGAATATGGACTAATACTAAAATTGCAATTTTAGCGAAAATTTACTCTAACGCTAAACCTTGTTTCATTCAAATCATAATCATAAATTGTAACTGAAATATGAGTTATTTAAGTTAAATAAAAATAAAATTTTAATCTCCGGATATTTTTCTGCACGTTATCCTTATAAAGTTTAACTAAAATAAGACATGATCTATGCCCAAGTAGCACAGAAGGAATTATAATTATCCATACGTGGACCTCATTATGGCAATAGGCATTAAAAAAGATTTATAGAGGTTTCCCCAACATCCTAAAGCCGTAAAATTGAATTCATTTTAACTTCGTATGCTAAAGGTTGCGTAAAAGCTGAATAATGGAGAAAACAAATGCCTTTTTAATGCATTTAGTGTAATTCTGTCTGATTGTAATGCCATTATACTGCTTAAAGCATACTTTTATACCTATGGTAACGTAAAAGAATTGTAAGAGTAGGCGCAAAATGCCAATGGTTCTATAACAGACACTCGTCATACCATTTTGATGCTGAATTTTAAAAGATGTAAGAATAACCATTTTAATGCTTAAAGTCGAATAAAGTCAGTGTATGGGACAGTAATGGATCAATTTTAATGCTGTTATTCTGCTTTAGGCTACTTTAAACTCCTTGAGTTCTATAAAAGAACTTAAAGAGAGGTAGAAAATGGCAAAGGTTCTGTAGAATGGATGGGTTACACCATTTTGATTCTGGCATTTTAAATGGGTGACTGTCATTCTTTTATAATTCTTAAGGCAATAAAAGAAGGCAATTTAGAGCGTCCTGAAGAGTAAAAGAATTTTAATAGAATTAATACGCCGTCGTATGCGTGTGTGATTGAAAACAACAAAATGCTATCGTCTACGAAAAAAAAGGTAAAATCGTGGAAAACGAAAGCTAGGACTGGAAAAGGAAAAAAGGAAAAAAGGAATTTTAAAGGTTCATTTCATAGCCAAAAGAATTGTAGTGGAACTATAACGTACTACAATTCTGCTTAAATACTCCGCCATTAAATCGTTCAAAACTAACCTAACACGATATTTCATGTAAATATTATAAGTAAACTATATGTAGATGTAAGCTATTACTTATTGCTCAATTTACAATTCTAAAATATATATAAGTCTCCTAAATATAAAACTGTGGACATAACAACCAAACACATAAATATTTATTTTTTCATAGGCACTTTTTCTATATAATATTTAACTAAATACTCATCATATTCGAGGCGCATAAAAAAATTCAATGGAAATGTATATGGACATTAACAGTAAACTTGCCTCCGCAAGACTATTTCACGTATTAACCATCTAACACCCAATACAATATTAATAAATTTAATAATACTTATAGTTAATGGCGTCGCACCTTTGTTTTATCACATATTGCTGCACATCACACAAATGTTTTGAATGTAAAAAAAAATACGAACTTTATAAAATACACCGCATATACGACACTATTGCGCTTTAAGAATTGTAATGGGTAGAATTCGGACTTTTTTAGGGGCTAAAGAATGCTAAAATTCCATTACGGTGCCTTTTTAGTACTACTATACGGCTATAATCGTCACTGTGTACCTTATTGATTCCATTACAATGCTATTTTAATGCCTTTTGGCACCCGCGTAAGCCTAAGGCACTAAGATTTGTGCCCAAATCAGCATTGTAATGGAATTTTAAGCGCTTAAAATTCTTTTTTATGGCAAGCTTATGCAGCTTAAAGCATCTGAAAATGCCATTATTCACCCTTTATTCAACTTTTTGTGCGACTTGGGTGTGCCTCTGACGAAAGATCCGTCGAGTGTACCACGGAAGTATGCGTTATACGCGACTGATCATCCGCCGGCGTCGTGAACGCAGGGTTGAATTTATTATTTTTATTACACAGTTCGCCGACGTTATAATATGCATATACGTTAATTTCATAAAGATCTTAGAAGGTTTATATTAAGATTACTCACCTTCGTATACATAGTCGAGAGATGTAATTACTTAAAAATACGTCAAAACTTAAGCAGATATTTTTACCAAATAAACAAGAATTTGAATGAAGTAAGAAGAATTAATAGTTACAATACTATTTTTATGAGTTATTACCAGTTCATACTTCATTGATATTCTCGTCTATTGGTTAAACTTATTTGCTTATGTTATGACATTTTCTTTCAATTGCAGATACGAAGTTAGATTTAAAGAAAAACACATAAAAACTGGAACATGCACATTTTTTAAAAGTATTTTTATAAGGTTAATGTAATTAACCAAATTTATGCATGGTTTCGTGCTGAATTTTTGCTATTCGGTCTTTTCATACAAGTAATAGCTTCTTAATTAAATATTAGATAAGAAAACGTTGATGCCTTTTAGTACAAACCATCATAGTACTTATAAAGAGATTGCACATGGCTGATAAGCAGCCACTGTTTCTAATCATGTTTTGGGCGTACAAAACTAAACTCTTTTTTCTCGTTGGCCCCTCTTCTTCGTCAGTATAAAGCAAAGCGGATGTAAAATTTAACGTTATAACTATTTTCGATGGAAATTTTTGAATCAACACTTCTCTTATTTTGTTGTAAATAATATTTCGAGGTATGATGATGTCAGCGAAATCATTCTGAAATAAGATTTTACGTGCATTCTTATTGTAATTATTATACATTAAAACTGTAAAGGCTCTCTCTAAATTATAAAAGTCTACGTATTTAATTACTAGGAGTGACTTCAGTTACCTACAGCTTATTTGGACGTTATTTCTTGCTATAACTCTTGAGAGATAGATACCTAGTCATTTTTAGTGTACACGCCCTCTTAAACGATGACTTTCTTATCGAAATTGAGATAACGCTTAATGAATAACGTGACCCATCCCGTTTTGAACGGGACCGTCCCCTTCTTTGGTTGTCCGTCACGGTGTCCCAGAAGATGATACCGGGACGCATAAACGTCCGAACATTTTGTTGGACGCACATTGTTGTTGCTTGCGAAGTAAGGAAGTAAAGCCACGTAAGGCGACAAGACATTAGCTGTCTAATCAAAATCCATTCATGTTTTCTTATTATTTTGGGATTATTTGAAACCTTGTGTTATTATACCAAAATCATCTTTGAATCACTAAAGTACATCTCAACAATTCAAGAATTTCATCCCTACCCCCCACAAAAGATGTCCCGTTTTGATCCAAAGCAAATATAGCCACGTTATTAATGCATTAAGTATCTTATAGTTTCGGTATTCATCGTTTAAATAGCAGGTTAATTCTACTAAAGCTTAATAATCGCATGTCAATAGAATCTCAATGACTAGCATTATACCTACTAGTACCTACCAAGAGTCTAATATTATTCGTGGAATTTCTGCTACACACATCAATGGTGTCAGGTAAATAATATTATTGGACTTAAGGTGGTTATTTCAATGGCAAAATGCGAGTAGCTGAGATTCTATTGAG